AAAAAATTTTTTTTTTTAATAGGAGGCTCGCCCGGGCTCGAGCCGACTCCCCAAAGTGGGGCTCGGCCCGAGCCCGAGCCGAGCCCGGCTCGGGCTTTTTCCAAGCCGAACCCGGGCCGTCCGAGCCTCCGAGCTTTTTTGCCACCGCTACACATCCCATGCATTTAATGTTGTCGACCAAGAAATTACAATACCCACTACCCAAATGCTATCTACAATGGTGAAATTGACGGCGAGTTGAAGGCGACGACAAGTGCTTAGTGTTCAGCCAACGATCGAGATATCTAGCCGACGAGGAGGACGCATCTCCTTCGATCGATCTTCTATGCAACTTGTGCTAGGATTCAACATCAAATCGAGATAAAGCGTCATTCACTGCCTCAAATCGAACCTTTGCGACAACAGCAAAACTGAGAATGGGGGATTTCCAATAGAGCCAAGCTTATATCAACAAAACATGGTAAGCATACAGTACTGTCGTTTCTTTCCCTACATTTATCCCTTGGTCGGAGAAATTATTTTCACGAAATTCTAACATACGTTATCTTTCCTGTTGCAAACCGACACCACATCTGCACTTTCTCAGGAGCAAGCATACACCTCCACCCAACCTCAGCCGAAGCAACTTGTACGTGAAACTGCGAACAAGACCGTGAGAAGGCAACAAATATTCCTCGCTGCATGCAAAATTGTTGTGACGAAAGGTCACGTCGCATAGTCATGACAACAAGCCGAGCCACGAAGCTCGGGCTCGGCTCAAGCCAAAAAGGGTCGAGCTTTAACAGGCTGAGCCGAGTCGGCTTAATTTTTTTTCTACACGCAGGCAACTAATATTTTTAGCTGTATGTATTACGCAGGCAGCTAAAAATAGCTTTTTTTTATATATTTTTTTAAAGCAGGCAGCTCGTACGGGCTGGCCCGAGCCTCGGCTTGGTGGAATCGAGACCGAGTCAGGCCCAACTCAGGCTTTTTTCTGGCTTAGCCCGAGACGGCAAGTTTTTTTGCCATCCCTACCATTATAGGAAATGCTTTACAAAGGCTATGTGGGACCGTTTTCTTTTACTTTTCAACAAACGAGCGGATAAAAACTGGATGGATATCCAGCTGAAGAATCGTTGTCAGCAAATGTGAATGGATCACAAGCTATTGTTCGAATTAATTAATTGCAGTGGGGTTGCATACAATCGAACTGCTCGAAATAGAGTAAAGGCTGATGAGGAATGGTAGGAGAGGAAACTTAAGTTAATTGGCTGAGGTGAAACTGTGGGAGAGGAAACTTAAGGTAATTGTATAAACTTTGAGCTCTATAGTTACATTTTAGTTTTAATTCAACCTGTCTTATTCTTGTTGTGTGCATCTGTGTGTCTGCGAAAACGAATGACGAGTTTTTCCAAAAGTGGATCATGTTTTTTTCTTGATTCCTGCATTTCAATATTAATAGGTTTGATATTGGTAACAAACCAATAATGAAGGGGCTAGATACTGATTTAAAAAAATGGCCTTATTCATATGGCGATAGAAATGGATTTTGGAAATCCGTATTGCAAATGTGAATGAACATCCATTTTCTGGGAAATTCGAAATGTGTTTTGGAATTAAATTATTCTGTCTATATGACGATATAATTGAATTTTATAAATGTATTTTCGAAATGTTAAGGAGTACTCATGTTCTGGATTTTTTTAATTGTGTTTTGGAATTGAATTATTTTGTTTATATAATGATTGAATTGAATTTTGGAAATGTGAAGGAGCGCTCATGTTCTAGAGTTTTTGAAATGTGTTTTGGAATTGAATCATTCTGTTTACATGACGATAGAATTGAATTTTGAAACTGTGTTGTTTGGGTTCTGAAGGTGCACTAATGTTATGGCTAATGGCCGCATTCATATGTTTCTCAATCATTTTACAAATAAATAGTGAATTCGATACAAGATTATTGCCAAACGACTTTTATATTTTGCATGAGTGTTAAGTGAAATCCCGTAACCTTTTATTTGTGCCAATACCTTATATTTCCCATTCAACTTCTTTTTGCATTTGCCATGTACAGTAAAATCCAAAGTACGAGAAGTTTAAAGATAAGGATGTGTGGGAAATTCACGATCGATATAATTGTCTATTCGGTGACAGCCATGACTCAACCAAGTACGTTTTGACACCGACCAAACAGACATGATGTGGATTTGGTGTGCATGAGGACACTAAGAGTGACCAGATAGATGATCATTTTCAAGCTTATAAATAATAGCATGTATTGAAGACAAAATACTTTCACCATTCTTATTAGTTACATGCTTCTATATCTACTTCTTCCAAAACTTTAGCCTCTGTAAGCAATACAAAGTAGTGGCAACCTTCATACGAGAGCACGAAATAACTTCTACTTGTCTTTGGAGCATTTCAGCTAACAAAAACGAAAAACGTGTCGTAATATCGATTCACTTATTGCAATATTTTACCCGAACTTCAACGTATCTGATGAAGAAGACGATGAGACACTAATACGACAACTCGAAGAGGACATTCAAACGTGGCTTAGATATTGTTGCATTTTCGAATGTCTAGTACGAAACAACTTGCATCGTTTTGCAAAACCGCACTTTCTTTTTCCATTTCGACGAAGTGCACATTATTCATGCTGCAACGTATCCATAAAATTTTTAAATGAATTTCGAATGTATCCATAGATGTTCGTTCACTTCACACACATGCTTCGGGATGAGTATGATTTGCATAGCAGTGCATACCTGCACGGGAGAGGATATTGACAAGTGCAAGCAATGTTTGGCTACTCGTTGTAGACAATAAGCCACAACTTTAAGAAGTTTTTCGCGTTGTGGTTTGGTTCGCAGGAGGTGATAAAGCCTGACCCAAATCACAACTTTGGGACAAGACATCATCGGCCAGACGCTGTTGACAATCCACTATTCCAAGTGATCGTGCTAATGGAGAATAAATTATGTAGTATATGAAAATTTAATTCTTCCACACAAAGGATTACATTAAATCTAATTTGTTTAGCAACTGTTTAGTGTGCTCGGGATTGTATCAGAGCAATTGACGAAACACATGTGCAGGTTGTTCTACCGTGTTACGAACGTGAACATTTCAGAAGATGAAAAGGGATTCTGATACGAGTTTGTTGACTGTATGTGATTTCAATGCTTCACGTTCGTGTTGCCAGAAACTATTGAAAATACATATGATAGTCGCATATTGCCTAACACAATATATAATTCAGAAATTAATTTTCCTATCCCCGCTCCTAAAAAGAATTATATTATGGACTCTAGATTTGCGCATAGACCGGGGTATATGACCCCGTATAAAGATTCACATATTCGATATCATTTTTAGGTTTCATAACGAGACGACGGACGAAGATGAAGATTTCGAGATGCATGAGAACGCTTCAGTTTCCATCACTGGTCCTGCAGGAACGTCATTGAGAGGTCATTCAGAGTATTGAAGAATCATTGGAAAATGTTAGATTGCATGTCAAACTACCCATTTCTCGTGAAAAATAGCACTTGTTGCTGAGGCGATGGCTATGCACAATTTTCTTAGGCGCAATGGTTGTATTGATAAAGTGTTTCTTAGAGCGAAACATGACAGAGACGACGAAGTGGAAATAGACCCTCCCGAAAAGGAGGAGTAAATTGCAACCGAAATGGATGCAACGTTGGACGAAGATTTACCTTGTGAACAAATTGCTTGATTACATGTCAATCATGTTACACTAGTATGCATAATCCCTATCTTGATTGTAATTCAAGAAATTCTATTCGAAATGTTTGGTAATTTGAAGTCATTATTGAAAATGAACGAATCGATTTAGATTTAGTACGTCCAAATGTTGCTATTCCTTACAAAAACAATGTGACGATCACGAATACCATAACACTCTGAAAAATTATGTTCTCAAAAAAAGGGAGTTTAAAAAAGGGGGAAAAGGGCTTACACGACAGCCTCAATTGAAGCACTTATAATTGTCAAATTTTGAATTTAAATAGTAAAAAAGGCAATAGAAAAGACAAAAAAANATAATTGGTTACATAACAGCAATGAACCTACAGTTTGAGTTGAAAATATAACACAAACCGTCCAAACCGAATCGTGTTCACCCCTAGTACATACAACTGCCTGATATTGGAGGAATCAATACTTGCCTTAAAAGGCAGTTATATGATAAAAATTTTATTTAAGTCAGCACATACAGTTGACTTGTTTAGGCAGCTATATAATAATATAAAATACAAAAAAAAAAAAAAAAAAAAAGGAACCCACCTCACACTTATCATTTACCCAATTCACGAAAAGTAGTAATAGAAATATTGATGACTACCAGAATTTGATCACCGTCATTACTTTTCAGTCACGTGGTAGCACGCATGTAAATAAACAAATGAAACGTCACTGTAATAAACCGTGTTTTCATGTAAAAAACGAATATCAAACATGTTAACTCTTTTGTTATTCAACAAACTTTAATAAATCTTAAATTGAATTGTTCCATTAAATTCTTAACATAAGAACTCATTATTTCTCTCTTTTCACTAATTCTTCCTTCTTTATATAGATTCATGGACCTCAGGTCTTGTGCATATTTCAAAATCTGCTCAAGTATCAAAATAATTAGGATCAAGTCTTCCAAAATGGAGCATTTTTATCTACAATTCATTGTTTTTAAACATATACACATACATACATACATACATACATACTGAGATTCACTCAATCAAACACATATTTTAGAAGAAAAAAGAATCACATAAATTG